ATTTTTTTTTTTTTTTAAATTTAAGATTTAATCGACGAGTTTACGTGGCAAATGTTTTCTTTTTTTTTTTAGCCATTCATCTTTTTTTACAAAAAAAATTTCCACAGGTGTTTTCACGTTTGTACTTATGAGTTTGTTTTTATACGTATCGTAAAATAATAATAATAATAATAATAATATGGTGCCAATATCATTGCAAACCTGAGGTTGAAGACCGCATTCCAAACAATTTTACGCAACCTGTCAAACTTAAAACGTATTAAAAACTTTCTTTCTTTCGGTACTTTGAGTTTTTTTTTTTTTTTTGCTTCCATTCTTGCCGTTAAGAAAACAAGTTTTCTGGCTTTTACGACAAGTTGTACCTAAACCTGATTTTTTTTTTTTTTTTACTCCAACTTAATTCCATCAACGAAGGGGGAAAAAAAAAACGTTTTTACGTATCAACAACAACAAAACGCGATCAAGTTCACAATGATTGGGGCAATACAAGTTGCCAGGTATGAATAGAAAGTGTTAATTGTGAAAAAAACAAACGAAACAAACAAACAAACAAACGTAAATAATTTTTAATGCATGTTTAAATAACGATAGTAGTAAAGTTTGGAAAAAAAAAAAGGAAAAAAATTTTTTTAATAATTTTTATTATTATTAATTTCGATTCGTTTGTCCGGTAAAATTTTTTTTAAAAAAGCGACGTCGTGAAAAATGAAAACAAAAAACCTTGAATTTAAAAACAAAAAACCTGAGAATACAACAAATTTTTTTTTTTTAATAACAAACGAAAACAAACCGCAAAACAGGATGACTAATATGCGAGATATTATTTATCATTTCGCGTTACACGTTTAAGAAAAAAAAAAATTAATTTTTAAAAGTTTTTAAAATAATAATAATAATAATAATGATAATAGTACACAAAGGAAATGATTTACCTTGCTAGCTGGTACCTATAATACCTGGCAAACAAACCGTGACGAAATTAAAAAAAAAAAAAGGTCTTTAATAAATTAAAATGCCTGACGACGACGATGACGATGGTCAAAATTTAAATTTTTTTCTTTTTTTTCGCGCTGAACAAAATGAAGGAGAAAAAACAGAAGAAAAAGCAGAAGAAAAAGCATAAGAAAATCATTAATGATAAATTTTTTACATTTTCTATTCGGCGTTTATTTATAATTTGTCGTACCTGATTTGTAGCGTAATTTACGCTCCTGAATAAATTAAAGAGTCAAAAAATTTTAGGCGAGAGTGTTCTAAAATAAAAAAACCGTTATTTTTTCTCTTTCCCCTTTTCCTTCTCCTTCTTCTTAAATTTCCTACCGGTTTAATTTTTTTTATTACTCATTAATTACTAATAATTAATAATTTTCTTTTTAATAAAAAAAAAAAAAAGGGAAATCATTACTTTGATTTGACCTTGAAATTATTTTCCATGCGAGCCCGCTTGTTTTTCTTTTTAAAAATTAATCGTTATCAATAATAATAATAATTATTAGTATGTTTTCCTTTCCCGGACAAATGGGGAAAATTTTTAGGTACGTAAAAAAAAAAAAAAAAACATCGAAAAACTTTTTTTTTAATGGAGGGAAGGAGAATCTGATCGGTTTTTTGCACGTCTCGTAATTACGCAATGATAACAATCGATAAAAATAATGATAATAATAATATCATTAACTGATAACGCGGTGACCGCCCCCGCCGCCCCCCACGTTCGCTCATCGTTTGCTCTTGAATTTATTATTAATTTTCCGTCTGCATCTCCTTACGAAAAAAAAAAAAAAAATTTTTTTTTTGGTTTTTTTTGGTTTTTCGTTTGACCCATCCGTTGTGACCTTTCACCTCTCATCCCCTCCCCTCCCTCCCCTACTTTTTCCTTAAACTCTTTCTAAACCGTTAATTTATATCAAT